GTGAATTTATTAGAGGTGTATTGTTAACGTGATAAATTGGGAGTGATGCAAACTGAATGCGTACTCTGTGGGGATTATGATCGTCAGAAGTGTAATGTTAACTCGACGATGTGAAAGATTCGTTACTCTTAATCCAGTGGATTCCAAGTAATTAACCCCCGGTCTTGATTAAGACTTAGCAGGAGAATAAAAAGAGGTAGACAAGGCACATCACCTAGTGAGGCACTATCCATGAAGTCGGAATAGAGTCACATCACCAGGTAGGCCATTATCTGATGAGTTTGACTATCAGAGGTAATTGTTAACTCGATAGTTTTATGGACCTATCATCCTACTGAAGAGGATTGACTTCAGTGGACGTAGTATCTTTCCCTTCTGACTGGGAAGAGTAAGCCTGGTCCGGTTGCTCAGGAGAAGATTGGGCTTGGTCTGATTGCTCGGGCTGATCCTGGCTACTTTGTTCTTCAGCTTTGATCCTGGTAATGATTTTTTAAGCCTGCTCGCCTTGAGAGATTAGTTGTCTCCAAGAACGACATTCTGCAACTCCTATTCGGGCAAGGAGGTCGGTTTGCAAGTTGTGTCGACAGGTCTCTACTAAGGTAGACTGTGTCATACCTGACGAACACCGGAGAGCCATGGTTCGGAACCTTTTGACGAAGGCTTTGACAGACTCCCTCTTCTTCTGCTTGGTGGCGAGAAGTGTATGAATGGAGACTTCTGTATCCTCTTCAAAGAATCTTGATAGGAAGAGTCTCTCTAGATCCGCCCACTTTTGGATACATCTGGCAAGCAGTTTCCTGAACCATTCAAAGGCAACTCCCTTGAGGGTGCCAATGAACAATCGAACCAGTATGGCGTCGTTTGATATCACATTTCCAGTCTGTGACTTAAAATGATAGATATGTTAGTTCGGTGATCCTGTGCTGTCAAAAGTTTGTAGCGTCGGGACCTCAAACTTTGGAGGATAAGGGGCTGCATCCCATTCGGCAGGATAGGGCCTGATAACTCCCTCATCTTGGAGCTCACTTCTGTTAGCAATAGCTTTGAGGCGGGCTTCCAATTCTTCCATTTTGGCAGACTGAAGATTCTGCTCGTTCTCAGTCTCTCTTCCTTCATCAAAGGAAGATTCCAGGTTGTGGGATTCTTGGTCAGAATCCACATCATCAACCATTTTTCCCTTCCCTTTGCTTGTGTGAGGTCGGGATGAAGACGCTTTTCCTCTCCGGGAAGATTCTTGCCTAAGCGGCGAATCGGTCTCCTGAGATTTGACCTTGTCTGCGACGATTTGAGTCAACATGACCATGAGTTCATTGATGGCCTCCTGTTGAGATTTGAGCATGGCCTCCTGTTCATCAAGTCTCTTCGCGAGATCTTCATGGTTTCCCGTCATATAAGCGAAGCTCTTATCTTCAACAAAAGAGCTTGATGACTGGGACTCTGCAATGGCTGAGTGTTCGTCATCGGAATTAGTTCCTCTGGCTAAACTCCGATAGTTAACAGGGGGAATGGCTCCTGTTCGCATCCGAGTGCGTTGGTAGACTCCTTCAAACTCGTTAGTGATTTCTCCATCTTTTGTTTGTTGGAAATTTGTAGTAAAAAGACAATGAAAGAAAAATTGACTTGTATTCCTCTCAAAATCAATTACAATTTAGATTCTGATTACAAAAGAGAGGAGAATGAATTTGATTCTCCTCTTTGTTTAAAATTGGGTTCTTCACAGTGGCGATGGAGTGCCTCCCTCGAATGCTCGCGTCGAGTTTGCTCTCCGTTGACGATCCGCACGTCTTGATTCACTGGAACGTGGTCTTCTCCTCACGATTTGACGCTGTGGGAGGACTTGCGTGGCAAGTCTTAAAAAATAACTCTTAATGAGTTAATAAATCAGAGCGAGTTTATCTCTATGAAAGAGTTGATTTAAACCGAAAGTTCGGTTAATAAGCCAAGGATAAAGAAGCTCCTGTTTTCGACCTCTAAAGCTCCAGTCGAAGAACGAATGCTCTTCTTTGCTGCCAATCCTCAGGTCCAAAAAGCCAGCCCTTGACCGAATTTCCCTTTGTTGATGAGAGAAAATCCCCCCAAAGCTAGCCGAAGATCTCTTCTTTGCTCCCCCCAAAAAGAAGGATCTGAACTCAGTTGAGTTTCCCACTATTTATAGGGGATTAAGGGTGGTAACTACCCCCTTAATCCGCTCCTAAGTGGGGCGGAAATCCCTCAGAACGTGGGATAAACGGTTTTGAGGCCGTTCAACTTGCGTTTGAACAAGTCAAACGCCTAAATTGGCATTCTGGACCTTAACTCTGCGTCTTAGAGATGAGACGCAGAGTTAAATCTCTGCTAGAGATTGGAAACGCACAGGCCGCACGCGTTCTGTAAATTGGAGACGCACAGTTGAGACGCAGAGATGAATTCTGCGTTTTGACATCTGAGACGCAGAGATGAACTCTTTGTTTTGGCATCTAAGACGCAAAGGTGAACTTTGCGTTTTGGCATCTGAGACGCAGAGGTGAACTCTGCGTTTTGGACCTGGAACGCAGAGTTGGGTTCTGCATGAACTCTTCGTTTTTGACCTGGAACGTAGAGTTGGGTTCTGCATGAACTCTGTGTTTTGGAACTGGAACGCAGAGTTGGGTTCTACATGAACTCTGCGTTTTGAGTTTGGAACGCAGCTACGGCCTCGTTGTTTTGAATCTGGAACGCAGCCACGACCTCTGCGTTTTGAGTTTAGAACGCGGGCACGACCTCTGTGTTTTGAATCTTGGACGCAGAGGTGAGCCTTAGGTGGGCTCGGCGAGCTTCAGGCTAAGTCCGATGTTCTGACGAAGTCCAGTCTTGAAGACGGACTTCAGAACATAACTTGTTGCGAAGAACAGGTCATAACTTTCAAACCGTAAGTCGGAATTGGACGAATTATATATGAAAATCGGCTATCTCGACGAGACGGGGCCATCCGAACCTAGCCAAAGGCTTGGGTTCGCTTCCTCTGTTTCGCCAAATTCCTTACGGTTTGAGAGATATATGCATTTTAATATGAAGAGACCGTCAATTTGTAGTCTCTCTCGCTAGAGCTTTGCACCGATCGTCATCTTGTAATCTTCATCTTGGCTCCTTGAGAATATGAGAGTCGTCAGATTGTAACTCCCGATGTTGATTGTGAAGGCTGTTGAATTGGGGCTTTCATTAGTTGTTGTGAAGGTCGTCAGATTGTAACCTTATACGTAAAAGTCCTCAAATTGTAGCATTCTGGAAGTCGTCAGATTGTAACTTCCATCATCGGTGTTTGATGGGGGATCAACTATCTATTATGATTTTTAGACAGCCTACACATATAGTAAGTATAATTTTGTAACGAATCATAATCCTTTGATAGCCACCCATTAAACAACGGTTCAATTTATATGCACGCAATAGTTTCTCCTCTACTTTTTCCTACTAACAATAGCTAAAAGATCCTATCAAGGTTCCATTTACATTATCAAAGCTATCCTAAAGGATCGAGATGACTATATATTTACATCATCAAAACTATCCTAAATAATCGAGATGATCATATATCTGTTGGAGTTGTAACTTAAAACTTGGGTTTGTAGAGGAAAAAAGGAAAAGTTTAGTCCCACATTGGAAAAGAGATGTGAAGATAGGTTCTTTATAAGCATTCTCTTTTTTTCCTATGCCTAGAAGAAAATAAAGGTTATGCTCCACACCACACACGCGCGCACCGGCCAGGCTCGGGTTCGGGTCGGGTGGCGCGCGCCCATGACCTGCGGACACGAATGCAGCTCCGAATTAAGGGGTCTTTAATCTGCTACGTTTTAATTTTTTTCTTTTGAACTTTCTTTTTGTATTAAAAACGTGATTAATATTTTCAAAATTTGTTAAACGGCTAGCAAAATTAATAGGCGGAAATTAAGGATCTAAATGAATGTAAGTGGATAGCAGTAAAGCGTGTTTATCATAAAGCAAATTAAAAACGTGGTTAATTTAACAATTAAAACATAATTAATTTTTAAAACGTGTTAAATGAGAGAGAGAGATTGACAGATCTAAATGATAGGAAAACGATTGGTATTAATTGGAAAATTTTATGGATTTTTAATGTGAATAATTAAAACGTGCTAATTACTCTATTGAGGGAATTATGGGCACAAATGACGCATTGAAATCCTATAAAAGAACCTAGCCGCAAGAGCTTAAACACAGTGAAAAATACAAGACATTCTCTCTTCTTCTCTGTTCTTCCTCCTCATTTTCCTGTTGTTACATTTTTTGTTGGTTCCCTGAAAGTAGTGAAGATTTCGCAAAACCTTCTTGAAGCTCGTGCCGACGAGAAGGAGGTCGTCTGACCGAGGATCGTCGTATCTCCGAGATCTATTACCGCGTAACCCTGTACGAGAGGGGGCAATTAGTTTCTTAGGACAATGCTTTGCACGTTTCGATCATCAGACCGTATTTCTAACCTTTATTTATTCATTTTCGTTTGAATTAATTTCAATCTGATATCATCTGATTTAATTATCAACCGTTCAAAACTTAATTCGTGTTAATTACTATCTAAACAGCTAATATTCCCAACAATATCCTCCAGGAATGAGATGATTTGCGCCGGAGTTAAAAATTTTAAACCAACCTCCCAATTGCCTGGGCTAAATTTTCCAAATCAATCTTGACATAGATCATCCCATTTAATGGGTATTCTAATGGAATCCCAATCCCAACCAACATCCACAACCACCATTGTTCATCACCAAAAGAATATCAAATAAGTAACATAGAACACTAGCTATATAGCAGACAACACCAACATAAACATCACCAAGAAGAAAAGGAAGGAAAGGAAAGAAAAAAGGAAAAGAAAACCAAAGCTAGCTAGAACCTATCCACAATATGTTCTACATGCCAAATTAACCACAATAGACACCAACAAGTACAACACCCAAAACCCAAACCCAACCACTACCAATCTCCGCCCCACAAGCCCCGGAGCCAAAATTAT